AAAGACAGTCTCAAAAACACGGTTTGAAATCGCTGGTGTTTCTGACGTCACAAACGACCTTGTAACCAATCAGATCAACGTGTGATCGTCAACCAGTGGATCTCTGAGCTGAGTGAGTGGAGCCGGGGCTCATTTGCATATTCATAGAACCGCGCATACTAAATGAGGCAATGGTGTCAAGTTACATTCAAGATATTTAAAGGAATGAAGAATTTTTTTGATTTTGGTGATTTAAAAGATGAGTTTTAGGGGATAAAATGATTGACTACAGGGGACTTTAAATTACCCAAAGCTATCGTATCGCATGTCTTCAGTCGGCTTGGAATGTAGCGCTTGAGTTTTATGACACTTATGCTGCATTTGCATTTTTTAAGGTTAACCGTTACATTCTATGTTAATTGAAATTGCATGGAATAGAGTGACTTGTCGTGAGTATTCTTCTTCCGTATCATGACGTACTGTACATCCGAGGGAAACTTGGATTATTGGAAAAGAAAAAATGGAGGTTGTTGATTGGATAGAGGCTGATCTGAATGCAAGTTTGCAGTCGATTGTAAGAAAAGGACAGTTTTAAGTCAAGTCCCCTTTATTGTTTCAGTGATAAACAGGAAAAACAGAATCAATGATGCAAACAGAACTCAGTTCTTCTGTTAAGCAGCTCTAAAAACGACAATAGTGTCCTTATTCAGATGAAGTCGGTTCAGTGTTGATTCAGTTTGGCTTATGAAACAGTCGAAGCAGCTCTAACTGAATTAAGCTGGATGATGACACTACTGTTTTCTGTAAAGTTTTGTTCTTATCCAATAAATACAGTAAATGGACAAACGTATGGATGAATCATATGAATAACAATTAGATCAATATAACATGCATTTAGAAAATACTTTAAAAAGATCACATTTCAGATATATCCATGTGTGTTCCACAAGTCAAATGGGTTTGGAACGACGATGGTGAGTAAATGCTTTTTTTGGGTGAAGGATTGCTTCCACTGCTTGTTTTTGCTGTTTCTCGTGTCGCTGAATGACCTCACGTGTGTCTCTGAGTCCCTGCGAGCGACGGCTGTGTGTAGTCTGACCTCGGCTGTGGCTCTGCCTCGGTTCGTCTCCTCAAGGTCGAGTCAGTAGGGGGTCCGTGTCAGCAGAAATCAAATGGCATCTTGTCCCCTAAACGTGGAGAGACCGAGCAACAGCTGTTCTGGAAAAATAAATAAAATCACTCAAACCAACCGAGGTGAAGTCAGAACACTGAAATTTATGTCTTTGTTTACCACAGAAAACCTTGGGAACATAAAATACTGGCCTTCAGTACATTTGACTTGGCAGGGTAGAGATGCTCTGAGTCACGCTGTATCTATGATAAACGCTGTATGATATGATACTGTATCTATGATAAACGCTGTATGATATGATACTGTATCTATGATAAACGCTGTATGATATGATACTGTATCTATGATACACGCTGTATGATATGATACTGTATCTATGATAAACGCTGTATGATATGATACTGTGTCTATGATAAACGCTGTGTGATATGATACTGTATCTATGATACACGCTGTATATGATACTGTATCTATGATACACGCTGTATGATATGATACTGTATCTATGATACACGCTGTATGATATGATACTGTATCTATGATAAACGCTGTATGATATGATACTGTATCTATGATACACGCTGTATATGATACTGTATCTATGATACACGCTGTATGATATGATACTGTATCTATGATACACGCTGTATGATATGATACTGTATCTATGATAAACGCTGTATGATATGATACTGTATCTATGATACACGCTGTATATGATACTGTATCTATGATACACGCTGTATGATATGATACTGTATCTATGATACACGCTGTATGATATGATACTGTATCTATGATAAACGCTGTATGATATGATACTGTATCTATGATACACGCTGTATATGATACTGTATCTATGATAAACGCTGTATGATATGATACTGTATCTATGATACACGCTGTATGATATGATACTGTATCTATGATACACGCTGTATGATATGATACTGTATCTATGATACACGCTGTATGATATGATACTGTATCTATGATAAACGCTGTATGATATGATACTGTATCTATGATAAACGCTGTATGATATGATACTGTATCTATGATACACGCTGTATGATATGATACTGTATCTATGATAAACGCTGTATGATATGATACTGTATCTATGATACACGCTGTATGATATGATACTGTATCTATGATAAACGCTGTATGATATGATACTGTATCTATGATAAACGCTGTATGATATGATACTGTATCTATGATACACGCTGTATGATATGATACTGTATCTATGATAAACGCTGTATGATATGATACTGTATCTATGATACACGCTGTATATGATACTGTATCTATGATACACGCTGTATGATATGATACTGTATCTATGATACACGCTGTATGATATGATACTGTATCTATGATAAACGCTGTATGATATGATACTGTATCTATGATACACGCTGTATATGATACTGTATCTATGATAAACGCTGTATGATATGATACTGTATCTATGATACACGCTGTATGATATGATACTGTATCTATGATACACGCTGTATGATATGATACTGTATCTATGATACACGCTGTATGATATGATACTGTATCTATGATAAACGCTGTATGATATGATACTGTATCTATGATAAACGCTGTATGATATGATACTGTATCTATGATACACGCTGTATGATATGATACTGTATCTATGATACACGCTGTATGATATGATACTGTATCTATGATACACGCTGTATGATATGATACTGTATCTATGATAAACGCTGTATGACATGATACTGTATCTATGATACACGCTGTATGATATGATACTGTATCTATGATACACGCTGTATGATATGATACTGTATCTATGAGAAACGCTGTATGATATTGTATCTATGATAAACGCTGTATGATATGATACTGTATCTGAGAAACGCTGTATGATATGATACTGTATCTGAGAAACGCTGTATGATATGATACTGTATCTGAGAAACGCTGTATGATATGATACTGTATCTGATAAACGCTGTATGATACAAGTGCTCCTCCGGCTTGTAATGAAGAGTTTTCTGACTGGTGTTGTGATGTCGAGCGTGTGTTTGTGTGAGGACTGATGCTGCGTCAATGCATGAGCCAAGTAAAGAGAAACAAGCGTTTGTGACGGCAATTAATCATGAATAATTCAGCTTCTGATACACAACCATGTTTGGCAAAATGATGGGAGAAATGTGGCATAGTCTAATACACTAATTAGGCTAACATGGTGTCATTCAAAACTTGTTTTCTTTTGCTAGACATTCATACTTTTACTATAGGCAGGGATGCATTAAATTGATCAAAACAGTAAAGACATGTATAATGTTACAAAAGATTTCTATTTCAAATGGTGTTCTTTTGAACTTTTTATTAAAGAGTCCTGAAAAATAAACCGCATCACAATAAACAAGCAGCACAGCTGTGTTCAACACTGATAATAATCATAACTGTTTCTTGAGCATCAGATCCTCATATTAGAGTGATTTCTGAAGGGTCATGTGACACTGAAGACTGGAGTAATGATGCTGAACATTCAGCTTTGATCACAGGAATAAATTACACTTTACTGTATATTCACATAGAAAACAGCTGTATTTTTTATCAAATAAATGCAGCTTTGGTGAGCAGAAGTTTCTAAACTCTCCTGAAGCCCCTTCTTTCCTCCCCATCTACCATTTCATCGGACAAATAATTGATTCCGGCTTAAAGGGATAGTTCACTTTGAAATTAATTTTTGATATGTTTTAGCTTACCTCCAGTGCATCCAAGATGTAGGTGTCTTTGTTTCCACAGTATCTTCAATTTTGATAATTTTAGGTAAAACCGTTGTTGTCTGTCAGTCATACAATGGAGGTGAAGGGGGTCCTCCTCAAAGAGCAGTCAAAATTAAACATTATTTAATGACTCGTAAATGTAAGTACACATTGATGCCCTAAGACACGAAACGAGTGGTTTTTGTGAGAAAACGAACAGTATTTATATTGTTTTTACCTCTTGTAACCACAGCCATGTCCAAGTTATCTGAGGGCGCGGACGCTTCCGTGTGTGACGTGTACGCAGACTGGTGCATAGATAAACTAGATGTCGCCTTGGCGACGGCAGTTCATTGGAACGAAACCTTAGCCAAGGCGACATCTAGGGTATATATATATCTATGCACCAGTCTGCGTACACGTCACACACGGAAGCGTCCGCGCCCTCAGATAACTTGGACATGGCTGTGGTTACAAGAGGTAAAAACAATATAAATACTGTTCGTTTTCTCACAAAAACCACTCGTTTCGTGTCTTAGGGCATCAATGTGTACTTACATTTACGAGTCATTAAATAATGTTTAATTTTGACTGCTCTTGACTGCCCGAGTTTGTTTACACAGTCCTGTACTTGTTCAAATCGCTGAATAACAACATTCACTGGTGCACTGCTCATTTACATTGAGTTTGGAAGTGGAGGTTCATATTAAGGCTTTGTAATTGTAAAAATGCAGCAGAAATGACAAATGCCAGCATGAATTTGCTTCACAGGCCTCTTGGGCTCTGTTGCATCATCATGCTGGTGGTGTAAAACATTTCTTTTCCCTTTGATAATTATTGTTTAAATGTTAAACCAGCACATTGTGCCGCAGACCAGTTGAATTTGGTCAATATTCCTGTGGTTCACCAACCGTTATCATGATGACCGGTGCAGTTCGTTCACTGAGTGCAGCACTGCAGGTCTGTCAGTCCTCATTTGAGCTGAATGTGTGTTCATTGTTATTAAACACGATCAGCTCTATGTGTTCTGACAGTGAGAAAGAAATTGCACAACATATAATTGCCAATTTAATGAGTCCTTCTTATATTGTTTCTCTCTTGCTTTTGTTTTTTCCCTGCAGTTGTGTTGCTGAACTCGAAGGAGTCCCAGGCAGAGCTGGGTTGGACCTCATATCCTTCTAATGGGGTAAGCCTTTCTATTTATCAGATTACTTTGAAGAAACTATAATAGTTCATTGTAGAGCTGCAGCAACAAATGATAAAATCACATCACATTCACGTCATTTTACAGTAGTGAGTTATGCAATTCTATGAACAAAACACAAATCTGAAATTATCAGAAATCTTTCCTGCGGGATAAGTGCATGAAACATGAGTGCTTTATATGAAGCGCTTCAAACAGATGCAGAAGCGTAATGTTTAACGCAAATGTTCAAGTCAGCTTTATTTATACAGCGCTTTTTACAATACAGAGTGTTTCAGAGCAGCTTTACAGAGATAACAGGAAAATAAAGCAACCACGTTTGTTTCCAGAAGAAAATAGTGTCATAGTCCAGCTTAAGTAAGTTCAGTGATGCTTCATTTTTGTTGTAAAAAAGTTATTAATTTAGTTCATTATTTATATATACACTCACCTAAAGGATTATTAGGAACACCATACTAATACTGTGTTTGACCCACTTTCGCCTTGAGAAATGCCTTAATTCTATGTGGCGTTGATTCAACAAGGTGCTGAAAGCATTCTTTAGAAATGTTGGCCCATATTGATAGGATAGCATCTTGCAGTTGATGGAGATTTGTGGGATGCACATCCAGGGCACGAAGCTCCCGTTCCACCACATCCCAAAGATGCTCTATTGGGTGGAGATCTGGTGACTGTGGGGGCCATTTTAGGACAGTGAACTCATTGTCATGTTCAAGAAACCAATCTGAAATGATTCGAGCTTTGTGACATGGTGCATTATCCTGCTGGAAGTAGCCATCAGAGGATGGGGACATGGTGGGCATAAAGGGATGGACATGGTCAGAAACAATGCTCAGGTAGGCGGTGGCATTTAAACGATGCCCAATTGGCACTAAGGGGCCTAAAGTGTGCCAAGAAAACATCCCCCACACCATTACACCACCACCACCAGCCTGCACAGTGGTAACAAGGCATGATGGATCCATGTTCTCATTCTGTTTACGCCAAATTCTGACTCTACCATCTGAATGTCTCAACAGAAATCGAGACTCATCAGACCAGGCAACATTTTTCCAGTCTTCAACTGTCCAATTTTGGTGAGCTCTTGCAAATTGTAGCCTCTTTTTCCTATTTGTAGTGGAGATGAGTGGTACCCGGTGGAGTCTTCTGCTGTTGTAGCCCATCCGCCTCAAGGTTGTGCGTGTTGTGGCTTCACAAATGCTTTGCTGCATACCTCGGTTGTAACGAGTGGTTATTTCAGTCAAAGTTGCTCTTCTATCAGCTTGAATCAGTCGGCCCATTCTCCTCTGACCTCTGGCATCAACAAGGCATTTTCGCCCACAGGACTGCCGCATACTGGATGTTTTTCCCTTTTCACACCATTCTTTGTAAACCCTAGAAATGGTTGTGCGTGAAAATCCCAGTAACTGAGCAGATTGTGAAATACTCAGACCGGCCCGTCTGGCACCAACAACCATGCCACGCTCAAAACTGCTTAAATCACCTTTCTTTCCCATTCTGACATTCAGTTTGGAGTTCAGGAGATTGTCTTGACCAGGACCACACCCCTAAATGCATTGAAGCAACTGCTATGTGATTGGTTGATTAGATATATAGCTGCTCTGGAGAAAACCGTGATGTTATCGTCCATGTGTAGTTTCTGATCAATAGGCTTTGTCTCTTTCTTTCACCTTATATTTAATGTACTTTTTCCCCCCTCTCTCAGATAAACACTTTTGTCATTCCTGTGTCCTGCATCTCGCATCCTTCTCTCTTCCTCAATGCTAAAGCACGTGCTGAAGATTTCATGCATAGTTTGACTCATCGCTGAGATGCGCAGTAAGCCTGACAGAGGACGTTTTAGCTCAGGACGACACGTTTCACCATTCGTAACGTCTTCTGTGAGGAGAAATGCTGCATGCTGGGGACTCTGTGCAAGCTGTTATTTGTTTAGCTTGTTAATTCTGGACCTGACAGCGATTAAATCCTCTGTCTCCTGCTCCCACCACAGCTGTGTGGACACACACACACACACACACCTCTGTGGTGTGTCATTCTCGTATCAGTGGAGAGTCTCAGCCAAACTGCTCAATTCCCTCAGAAACGAAGGATCTTCATTACACTGCAATTAATTGTGAAAACACTGTGAGAGTGTTCGTCTTCAGAGGCTCATTATAATCTCTCCAGCAGACAATGAGCTTGTTTGTGGTGCTGATTGAAGATGCTTTACACTTAATATGTTCTGTGTTTGATATACTGTAGCTGATTTGCCACTAATCTTTTTACAGATTGATTGAACTGCACGCCTTATAAATATCAATACCAACATGTGATGCACATATTGACATGGGCAGTGTTGTAATATGTAGGCATGTAAGTCTACAGAGATTTGCTAATGTACATCTTTGTGTACATAGATGCATATCTTCTCAAATATGTCACCTTTTTAGGGATTTGATGCAGCAAAGGAAACATTTGAAGATTAAATATGATTGGATTTGATCTGTTTATATAAGTATTACAGTTCGGCCTGTTAATGCTCAGTGAAAATGTGGGAAAACACAATGAAAATGTAATGGGGTTTTAAATTTTTTTAATTTTTTCTTAATTATTAATATTATTTATTTTATTTTGCAATGATTTTTTTTATCATAGAGACCTTCTATTCTTAAATTCTTAAAGCACAGTGGAAAAGTTAATACAGCCCATTGAAAAGTGTAGTTATTTTGTCATTTTGTTTCATTTGAATCCATTGGCATTTAACCAACGCTAATGGAAAATGAATTGCAATGAATATCACCTTGGTTTTTCACCAGATCTTTCTTTCCTCATTCCAGTGGGAGGAAATCAGCGGAGTGGATGAGAAATACAAGCCGATCCGCACATATCAGGTGTGTAACGTGATGGAGCCGAGTCAGAACAACTGGCTCCAGACGGGCTGGATCTGGCGGCAGGGCGGCCAGCGGATCTTCATCGAGCTTCAGTTCACGCTTCGAGACTGCAACAGCATCCCGGGGGTTTCCGGAAGCTGCAAGGAGACCTTTAACCTCCTGTACGCCGAGTCCGACTGGGACCTGGGCCGCGTGACCCGAGAGGACCGGTACAGCAAGATCGACACCATCGCTGCGGACGAGAGCTTCACGCAGGGGGATCTGGGAGAGCGCAAGATGAAGCTGAACACGGAGGTCCGTGAGATCGGGCATCTGAACCGGAAAGGCTTTCATCTGGCGTTCCAGGACGTCGGCGCGTGCGTCGCGCTGGTTTCCGTGAGAGTGTATTATAAGCGATGCTTGTCGACGGTGCAGAACTTGGCCGTGTTCCCGGATACGGTGGCCGAAGCTGCGTTCGCCACTCTAGTGGAGGTCAGAGGCTCGTGTGTGAATAACTCTGAGGTGGACACCGACAGTCCTCCCAGAATGCATTGCAGTGCTGAAGGGGAATGGCTGGTGCCGATCGGGAAATGCAGTTGCAGCGGCGGCTATGAGGAGGGACACAGCAGCTGTGAGG